TTTAAAAAAATATATCTTTTTTCATGACGAATGTATGTTATTTTGACGCTTCCAACAATAAAGATTTGAATTACAGGCAGGACATTTAACTGCCTTACAATATGGCAGTGGTTCTTAACCTTGTTAGAGGTACCGAACCCAACCAGTTAACATGCACATTCACCGAACCCTTCATTTGTGACAAAAACAAATAGGATTTTTTTAAAATTCAAGACATAAAAATTGAAAAAAAAGTAAATAAATTATTTTCTTGTACTCCCCATCTCCATTCAGTTTCAAGAAGTATTCCCTCAGTTTTACCAGTATGAGACTAGAGTTGCTCAACTTGGCATGACAAATCATGCAGATGGGACGCTGAGTCCCATCATGTTCCATGATGCATGTGAATCCACGTTGTACATATTCGTCTGACCACTTTATTTTTTGCTCGACGTAGTTAGCATGTATCAAAACTTTTTCTTTTGAATCAGGTGATGTACTATCATGACAGTCACACGTTGATTACTGAGGGAACTAAATTTCTCGCAGCACTGATTGGTCAAGCAATGTCATGTGATTATCTGCAGCCAGTGATGGCCAAGCGGGCGTGTCATAACTAATTGACATTTTGAGTCGGGTATGTCTTAACCTCCATGGCAGAGGCTCCGTCGAACCCCTGTGATCGATTGACCGAACTCTAGGGTTCAATCGAACCCAGGTTAAGAACCACTGCAATATGGTGTGTCTTATTATTTGTTTAACCTGACAACAGAAAGAGAAATGGGCAGAAACCAGCCGATTTTTTTATTTTTTTTTTTAAGATTTGTGTGAATGTCTTTGTCTTGGATTATAATGTGTTAACGTGGGAGGGAAAAAAATCGGCCAAAATGGTTAATGTTGTCTGTGCCCTAATTTTTATTGCTCTATTATCTTCCCTCTCCAGACCAGAGGAGGAACCCATGGAAGAGGAGGAACCACTGTAACGAGGGGGCATACGTAGCTGAATCACACTGTTATCATTGACCTCTCCGGAGGACACCTCTTTGAGAAGCAAGGAGTCTCGACTGATCCCTTCATTTAGTGCCCCCGACACCAAGCATCATCTTGATTGGCGGAGGGACAGGGGGTGGGCTCAGCCTCAGAGTAGGGAGCCAGTCAGGAGACAGATGACTGGAATCAAAAAAATAACAAAAACAAACGAGTTGCTTCATGGTGCTCATTTGGAGATGTTTTTCTGTCAGTCTTCGCACCCTCTACGATGGCCTACAGGTGCAAGTGACCAAGGCAGCTTTTGCTGACGTGATTTGAATGGGGGAGCGCAAGTTCAGGTCTCACCACGGAAAAGTGAGATTCTTTGTGGAAACCAAACGGCTTCCCTCTGATGCCAACACTGTATGAACACCAGGGACAGAAGACGTCCCGTCTGCAAGTCACAGCTCGGAATTTTCTTTTATCTCGACTCGCTCTCTGACGGGAAAAGAATTTATTAAATGCGTTCACTGTGGACTTTCGGTCTTACAAACACTCGTTTTCATCAGAGGTTCTAAGAGGAGTGCCTTGGTGAGGGTCCGCTGGATTTCACGATTGTTCAGGAAAAGTTTGCCTTAAGATTTCCTTCTTGGGGATCAGCGCCAGGGAGGGATGAGAATTAGGACAATACAGCGAACAATCTTTCAGCATGTTTACTTGGAACGTGGCCATGTTATTTTACTTTTCGGATGGATCTATTTTTCTGTGGAAAAGGACATGCTCTATAAAGGTAGTTGCCAGCTTCAGCAGAAAGGCACATCATTCGATGAACTGATTGGACTCTTATGTAGCTTCCCATCGAAGATTCCCGTAGAAGACGGCTTTGTCGAACAAGCATGAGAGGAGAGGTCGCATATTTCCGCCCTGTTTGGAATGGTAAGCAAAGGAAGCCAAAGCATGACTCTGCATCTAACAAACATTTTACATTTCGTTAGGAAAAGGCTTTGTAGGTCACTGAATTTGATCATCGCTCTCCTGAGCGATCCTGCGCTCTGCTGGCAACTACCTAGTTACCCGTGTGACTCCAGTCGTGTATATAAAGTTGAGTATATTTTGTGGGGTGCGACGGCCCTTTCATATCGACATGTTTTTTTTTTGTTTTTTTTTTCAAAAACATCAATTTCCACGACTTTATTATATTTTTTGTGTGTGTGTTTAATTTCTAACTTTTTTTCACAGATTTTTTTTTTTTTTAAATCCGTTATCTGGATAGTTATAGGGCTACCAGTCACAAAAGTAGTGTCACGGAATTTGTTCTTTTTGTATTTATCAAAAGTAAGGAGCAACTTTCTTTCTTTGTACGGCTCTTCAGGCCACTGTGTTTTTCATCGATTGTGTATTTATATAACGTACTGTTTATGGAAGATTTGTATATGGAAAATTTCTAAATGTACTCTAATGACAGCTATGATATTGTGAACGGAACCCAGTATGGTGTTTCTCCATGGACGTAGAAAAAAAAGAAAGAAAACAAGAAGCAGCGTATTTAGCTACTCATCGAATGCACTGTTTCGATGTAAAGTCATCACACGGCACTGCTTTGGACTTCTCCTCATAGAGTCAATCACTTTGTTGCCTACGTGGTGGTCTTTTTCTCGTGCACGTATATAACATGCACTTACCTTACCTTGGTGACATGCCTGTGATCTCGCCGCAAGCAGGTCCAGAGGCCATTTTATGTAGCGAGCTGTTTTCTGTGTTTTTTTGGGGGTGAAATGGCAGGCATGCGAATGCTGAAAGGAGCCGGCCTTCCCATGGTTTGTGTCTGTTATTTTGGATTGGCATCAAAGTGCGATAATCAATACATTGCAAGACCATTTTTGTCACGACCTGTGTCCGAAAAGGAACATTTCTTTTTTGATTTTGACAGTGGTGCAACCTACACTACACAGTGAGCAGTTTAATTATGTATACCTGGTGCCAATAAGTCATCAGTGCGTTGTTCCATTTTGCCCCACCCTTATCTTCATATGTCTACATGACCATCAAACTTATTTCAATTTGTACATCATTCTTCATACTTGTAAAATGTGAGTTTTTACTAACAAAACATTCCATTTGATTAATTCTTTATTTTTTTGGGGGGAGGGAGTAATCTGAATCACTACTAGTTTTTTTTTTTTTTTTTTTTTTAAAGACACGTTTTTAAGTCTTTTTTTTTTGGTGGGAGGGACCCCAGCTCGCAACAACTTTAACTCTTTGCATGGTTTGTTAGTCAGCATGCCTGCTTGTCTATGTAACAAATATGTTTTTGCACAATAGAGGTAGAACAAAACAAAACAAAAAAAAGCTTACTAGAGTTTCCTGCCTCGCTGGTGTGCAAACATTTGAAAAGACTTAGTTCCAATGACTCCACTATGGTTCTTCTTGTTTAAGACAAGTGATTTCTGCACTTAAAATGGACATAGATGGACTGTGTTTGCTCTGCCAAACCTCTGCTACATTCACGAAAGACTCTCCCAAAGAATGTTCCTCTTTCAAAGATGTTTAAACGGGCACTGTCGATGCTGGAGTAATGCTGCGCTTTTAATTGGGGAAACGGTTTGGAGGAGGACATTTGATTGTCACACCCACCTCGGCCAGTCCTACAAATAAATAACCACTGTGGCTCAAGAGCAATTCTTGGTTTACATGTAAATGAAAGAAGTTATTTTTTGTTCGCTGTCTATGTCGCTAAGCGACATAGGGGACCTGCGCTTTGGACGTTTCATCTCTGACATCTATAAAATATATTTCTGAAAAATCATTGTCTTTTGCTGTTTCTTCTTCTGTGAAATGACCAAATGTGAAAGTCATCAACAGCGACCTAAAGATCAGGCGGTGTTTTGACATCGATAGGCGAGAATTGATTTTATTCTTACTTTTTTCGGCATGTGATGGGAATGTGACTTCTTCAGTCATTGAATCAGATTATCTGTCTGGCGCAAGCTTGCAAAGTCCATGTTTGCTCAGTCCAACTTTAGATCAATAGAGCGTGTTTTGTAGCTGGCATTTATTAAAATGTACTCTTTTGGATTCAGCATTTAAAAAAAAAACCTTCTCTCAACTATCATCCTTACGAATAACAGTTGATTTGCTGCCTGGCACATGACTCAGATGATGTGACACATGAGGGGCATAAAACCTCAGCTGACCACTCTGCGTGGAAAATCAAATTATGAGACTCAGTGTCACAAGAGTGTCCAAACGCTGGAAGTAGCTGTCTGGTGACCATCTCAAATCACAACAGCAACAACTACAAAACTGGAAACCATCCCATTTGTCCTAAAATAGCTTCCTGGGAGTCAAAGAGCAGACTTTAAAAGCTTTCTGTTGGTCTACAAAGCAATGAATTGGACCTAAATATATTCAAGACTGTTTACTTCCTTGAGAACTTCAGACCCAACAGCCTTATTGAGTGCATCCAGAACCAGAGCCAATCAAACTAAAGCAGCACACACAAATACGAGTTAAAAAAAATCACACAGGTAAATGGGAAGATTGCTTTAGTATGACGATGTTCTTCTTGGGAAGGAAGTGTCAGATGCTCAGGGAATTGTGAACAAGTGCAAATTGTCCTCCCTCCACTCTTCTCATGCTCTGAACGTAACAAACATGGCAGGATATCTTTGTAGATGTGCCGATTGAGACACATTGAAGAGGGCAATCTCATAATTTGTACTACATGGTTAAAATATATCCTGATGCTGGAACTTTGCATATTTTGGATAATCTGCAATACATTTCCATCTATTACAGAAAAAAAACCCACAATGAAATAATACAAAACACCACAACTAATTTTACCAGTCACTTTTTTTACACACAAGTATATTTTGCACACAAGTATTTATAAAAGTATTCACATTCTGTACTAATTCAAAACTTCAGTGCAGAGCGTGAGTACTTTTGCCACCTGTGTGAATTGCACATGTTGGAAGGGGTCATGTTGACCCTATTTTAAGGGGTTAATGAAAAGTATGAGTAAACGTCCTACAGCAGATGATTTGGTGTTCAATGAGGGGAGGCCACTTCCTTCCAGTATGCATTCACCACCCATGCGAGATCTTCCCCTTCTCTGCCGTCGACATTCGATGTTGCAACTGTGCCGCACTGCAATGCAACATTAGCAGAAACTCATAATTTCGCGGTGATTTCGGCGGGGAGACCTGCTGCAACATTGTCCTTCTTTCTCGCGCCGCTTTTTGCAACATGCCGAACATCGTCCTGTTCAGCGGGAGCTCTCACCACGACCTGTCCCAGAAAGTGGCCGATCGGCTGGGACTGGATCTGGGCAAAGTGATAACCAAGAAGTTCAGCAACCAGGAGACATGGTGAGTATTTTCATGGTCTCTATGGCAACTTGAAGTGGAGTGGTTAAAACGGCCTCGATTTTCCTTCTCGGAACGTTAGCTCGAAGCTAACAATAGTTTACTACAGTCTCTACACGTGACTAGCTAGCCTCATGTAAACACATCCGGCTAGAATGCTAAGGTAAATACACCCATTATCGGACACGCCTTTTCACTTTCGTTCGGTTATGTGAATTACTCCAGGAACATTACTTTTAAATTCCACCTTCAGGGTATGCGTTAAATACACTCCCGTGCTTGTGTTGGATAAAGTAGCATCCAGCGGGCGTGTGCTTGATAATCATGGTAGCTAGTTGTTTGTCGTTCCAACATGGAGGCACAAATGTTGGGCCAAAATCTGAGCCAAATTAAATTGACTCTTGACATAATGTTGCGAAACAACCTTTAGTGCGACCGTTTTTTTGTTTGTCGTGTTTTATTTTATTCAAAAGTGTGCCGACAGCGAGTTTGAGCACGTTCTAACGCGATGGAAAGTATTTATTCGCGCCACTTAAGAGTAGCTAGCTAGTCGTTGGCTACAGTAAACTTGACAAAAATAAAAAGTTTTGACTCATCGCATTAAATAGTGTCAGTTTGATTTCCACATTGGATAACAATAACAAGTTGGATTAATTCTAATCCAATCCATATTTATTTGTTAATGACGTTAAAAACAGGCACAGTGCACCGAAATGCTGCCCAACAGGATACATACCAAAAAAAAAGACTGATATAAAACGCAAATATGTTTGAATACACAGAATTAAAGGACACACAATCTTAAAATCAATTGATTTAAAAAGTAATGACAATGAATGAGAATAAATTGTGACAAATGTGTCGTTTTAAGAAGTAATTTAAAAAAATGTAAAGAAGAGACCTTTTTAATGTGTTGAGGAACTCATTTCATAGTTTTGGACAGTAAAAGCTATTTGAAACTTGAGGGTCAGGAACGTGACTTAAGTGTCAGTCAAACCTAAAAACAAAGAAAACTGTTAACATTTACAATTTTGGTACTGTGGTGAATGTATATCATGCACACTTGGTTGAATCACATGTACAGTACTTGATTTGTGCGCCTTTACCAGTGTTGTAACGGCACCCTGTCAGCTGTACTTTTATTGCTGAGAGATCGCAGTCTCCTAAAAAATAATAACAACAATAAATAAATAAAACAACCACAGAGGTGGCAAAAGTATTCACACTCTGTACCTAAATAGTTCAGATGTTTGTGTTTTAGGAAGAAAAAAAATCTATCTATCTATCTAAAAAAGCCTGCGCCTCAATTTTGTTAAAACAGAGTCCAGAGTAAAATAAGTACGGTAACTAATGTTGTGATAATGCATCACTTCAGTTGTCCTTAACAGTTTTGTTTTAGTGTTTTTGTTACAGACTGCATTTAAATGAAATGTGTGGTAAGGCTGTCAGAAAAAAAAATGCAGTTGGATGTTAAAATGTCAGGAATAATAACCTGTTACTCTATTAACTATGATATTGGTGTCAATCAAGATCTTTAACTGCGTTTGACTTTACCTGTCTATTTACGTCGTGTAATCATGTGTGGAAATTGAAAAAGTAACACTGTTGTCACAAAGTAAGGAGTAAAAATGAATCCCCCCTCCTCCCCTGACATTACATTTCTATAGAGGCTGTTAGTAACAGATATACACTGTAGAACATTTGAAGGCTACAGGTGAGACAGTTTTCCAGATATGGCTGTTTCAAAATGGCTTTTAGGAGTATGATGCCAAAAACCGTCTAAATTACCCTTCATTCGATGATTTTTATGAGAAATCTATTGAAAGCAGAGACCTAATATTTTTTATTTTTCCAATCCACAAGTGTATCTTGGTACTCCCCCCCCCCCCCAAAGCATTGTTTGACGGTCAGGTGGGAAGATTTTCAGAAATTTGATGAAATGACACAGATTGACCGTTAAATGCAATTTTGGCGAACAAAGCCCGAGTCTTATTTTTATTGTTCGACATTTCAAAACCAATGTTCAATATTCTTGAGAATTAAGTTATTTGCTCTTAAAAAAAGGATTTACTTGATTTTAGAAGCTCTGGCATAATATTAGCAGCGTCTAAAAAACAAAGCAAACAATATCATTTATCATGATAATTTTCGGGAAGATGTATTGTTCTAAAAACTGTCGTCACAGGCCTCGGTGAGTGACCTTCGTCCACTCGCTATAGAGCGAAAATAGCTTTGGGTGAAAAGATGATAGGAACGATTGACAACTTCTGAACACACTTCAAGCATCAATACTTTTAGGTAACGGTAAGTTAGCAGTTTTGTGGAATTGTCATTCTAATAAAGACTTTGTGATGACCCGATTGTTAGTTAATCATTTCCCCGTCAATATCACCCAAAAACACATGTAGTAGTTTTGTTTTTTTATAAAAACAACTGTAAAATTGCGGTGTTGAATGTGATGCAGTAGAAAATGTAGGCTACGCCACACTTTGTGTGCTTGTGCACCCAAGAAAAAAAGTTGGGCGCACCAGTGCAAAAAGAGCAGTCTCGAGCAGTGGTCCTTAACCTGGGTTCAATCAAACCCTAGGGGTTTGGTGAATCGGTCTCAGGGGTTCGATGGAGCCTCTGCCACAGAGGTAAAGACATACTCGACTCAACATGTCAATTAGTTATGACACGCCCGCTTGGTCATCACTGGCTGCAGATGATCACATGACATTACTTGTCCAATCAGTGCTGCGGGAAATTTAGTTCACTCAGTAGTCACCATGTGATTGTCATGATAGTACGTCATACAATTAAAAAAAAAAAAACTGTACTTCGGCCATGTAATTTTATTTACTTTTTTCTGTTTTTCATAAATGTGTTTTTTTAATGTCTTGAATTTATAATAAAGGGTTTGGTGAACGTGCATATGAACTGGTTGGGTTCGGTACCTCTAACAAGGTTAAGAACCACTGGTCTAGAGCCTGGTGAAACATTTTCTGAAAACTAAAAATTCTCAAGTAAACTACAGATACCTGAAAAGCCTTCTGAAGTACACGAACAAAATTATTTGTACTTTATGTCCCACAATAAAACAACAAAGGGGTTATCCTGATGTCATATTTGGGAACTGGTGATAATATTTGTGATTCCACGTTTTCAACTTGGGAACTCAGCTGTTTGGGTGACAGGCATTTCAAAACAATTATTTTTCTCACTCCCCTCAAACTGAAAGGTGGTGAGAAATTTGAGAACTTTACACTTCTTCTCACAGCTCCCACACAAGCTTTCACCGGCTGACCTTGACTGGTCAAGGTCTGCACTACAGTAACAGTGGCGATTGCTTAGTGTGACAACATGATTGGACTTTTGCTGCAGTTGGAAAATTGCAGATAGATTTAATCAGATCATGTTCATGATCATGAAGCAACCCATTTATGCATGGATTCTATGGAAGCTGTTAAATTTCAGCATGTGCGCGTGAAAATTATCCAGTGTCAGTGATCACATGGCTGAGGCCAAGTTGGAATGAGTACCATGTCCCAAACAGGAATGTTTCATACGCATGCTTGCTGCTCCTGCTGCCTTCACTGTACCGCACTGGTGTGTGCTGCACAGGGACATGGCCTGGACTTGTTCAAGTACTGTATCCGTCCCGCTGGTTTTCTCTCACTGCAGCGCAAGCATCACCGGACATAACGCAAATGTTGATTAATGGTGTAGTTTGAATGCGGTGGAAAGTCTAAGGACAAATGCAATCCTTCCTTCTTTTTGTACAAAGTGACCTTGTGTCACTTCTAATCTATATTGTTAACACATTGTATGAAGACTTGCCTTTCTTTTAGAGTAAAAGTTGGGATGGGGGGGTAAGAGGGGCAAAGAAAAAACAATTGATGCCATTTTGCTCTCTTGTTGGACCAACAGTGTGGAGATTGGGGAGAGTGTGCGCGGCGAGGACGTGTACATCGTGCAGAGCGGGTGTGGCGAGATTAACGACAACCTCATGGAGCTTTTAATTATGATCAACGCCTGCAAAATTGCCTCGTCATCCCGCGTCACCGCCGTCATCCCCTGCTTCCCTTACGCCCGGCAGGACAAAAAGGACAAGGTAGACGGAGGTTTAGGGATAGTTTGTCGTGTTTCTCCCTCAGTGCACAATTTATGACTCAGTACAAAAACATCACTCTTTGGTTTAATGCCGTATTTCACAACCTTGATTGGCCATTGAATAGTTTTGCCTGTCACTATATGTCACTTGCATTGATGGATGAACCAAGGCACAAATAAATAAAGAACAATTTTGTACCAGTTAAGTGAAATTAGATAATTAGCCACAACACAAATAACAATCTATCGCGACACAATAACGTGCCCGGTGTACAGTGGTTGGGAATCACTGTTTAATGTAGAGGTCACTAGACAACTGGAGTATTGCTAATTTCAGAGTAGGGCTGAATAGTTAAATCGAATTAAAATCAACATTGCAATGAGATTATTTTTCAAAATCATTCAGCCCTACCTCAGAGTGAGCCTTTGTGAACTGACAGCTCAGGATCACCCGCACCCACTTAAGTGTTTTGGCAACAAAACCCACAGTTCACGTTTAAAGAGAGGTAAAAATTCAATGTGCAGCATGCGTGTATGCTATATCTCTGCTATATCCCCCCCTCCCCACACACACACACACACACACACTGACTTGAGTTGTGTGCCGCATGCTTGTCCCAGAGCCGAGCGCCCATATCAGCCAAGCTGGTGGCAAACATGTTGTCTGTGGCTGGCGCTGACCACATCATCACAATGGATCTCCACGCCTCCCAAATCCAGGTGGGTCGCCGACGTGTTTGGTGTTATCATAAAATAGTGATACAATGGTGTCACTTGCCAAATAGTGAACAATTCTTCAACCCCCCCCAAAAAAAAATAACAAAAACACTCAAGCTGTTTATTTCCACTCACAGTTTAAAAATAATTGTACATTTATATAAAACAACCACAAATCTCAGCCTTTCAGTACGCAGGGTGAATTCCAAGGCAAAATAGCATTGACAGTATGTTGCAGAGCTATAAACCCTTTAAGCAACATTTTGAAAATTAACAGTGCAGCAAAACATGTAGACAGCCAATTTTGTACTGTGCAAATCATGTATTCTTCATCCTCTGTGAAGAGAGACTAATATTAGGGCCGTCCCGGTGAGCTGAAAGAAATTGAGACCCTCACTGAACAATACATAGGCCTGTCTTATACTACTCCTCGGTGGCCAAAGCAGCAGTTAGTTAGTTAGTTAGTTAGTTCCGCCCGCTCCTATTTGGAACATTGGGCGACGAGTCTCCTCCATCTTTTCCGGTCACTGGCGACCCTTCTTGCTTCATGCCAGCTGACACCCATCTCACTGAGGTCTTCTTTGGCAGTCTGTCTCCACGTCTTCTTTGGCCTACCTCTCTTCCTCTTTCCCCCCTCTGGCATCCAGTCCATGGCCACACTTGCCGGTCTCTCTCTTGGCAGTCGGAGTACGTGGCCAATCATTTTCCTTCTCCTTTCAGAGACAATGTCTGACAATTCAGCTACTCCTGCCCTCCTCATCACCTCCTCGTTGGTGATGTGGTCTCTCCATGAGATCCTCAGGATGGATCTCAGGCAACGCCGATGGAAGACATCTAACTTGTTGGTAATATTGGCTGTCTTCATCCATGTCTCACAGGCGTAAATCGCTGTTGGGATGACCACTGACATATAGAGGCTTAGCTTGGTAGCCGTAGTGATGGCCTTCGATGACCAGATGTTGCGGAGGCGTTGGAACACTCCCGCAGCTTTACCAAGTCTACTGTTGACGTCTTTCTCCACATTACCTGTATTTGAGATGTTACTCCCAAGATATGTGAAGCTGTCAATGTACTCTATGTCATGTTGGTGTAGAGCGAGTGGCTGAAGGTGTTGGTGCTGTCCGATGGCCATGGCCTTGGTCTTTTCCTGGCTAATTCGTAAACCGACCTTAACTCCGTGTTCATGCAGATTGTTGGTCAACTCCTGGAGTGCGGGCTGGGTGTGACTTAACAGAGCCAAATCATCCGCAAATTCCAGGTCAGCTAGTCTGTTCCCTCCCCACTTGATGCCAACTTTTGCCCCTGTGATGGACTTCCTCATCACAAAGTCAATTATGATGATGAAGAGTAGAGGTGACAGGGTGCAACCCTGTCTTACACCAGTGTCAATGTCAAAATCATCAGTTGTGCCACTGTTGGTTTTGACACGACAAGTTGAGTTGTGGTACAATGACCTGAAGATGTTGATGTACTTGAGGGGTACACCATACAGCTGGATGATCTGCCACAGTGACTCCCGGTGGATGCTGTCGAAGGCTTTCTTGAAATCGATATAATTGATCATGAGTGGTGTCTGAAGTTCTTGGCACTGCTCTATGATGTTTCGAAGAGTAAAGATCTGTTCGGCGCAAGACCTTCCCTTCCTGAAGCCGGCTTGCTCTTCCCTCAAGATGTTATCCACTTCGTCTTTAAGGCGATGTAGCAGAACACTGCAGAATACTTTGCTGGGGATTGACAGCAGTGTAATGCCCCGCCAGTTATTGCAGTCTGCGAGGTTTCCCTTCTTAGGTAGCGTGACAATGACCCCACGTCTCCAGTCGGCAGGAACCTCTTCAGCATGCCAAATCAGGTTGAACAGGTGGGTAAGGCTCTCCACAACAGCGTCTTGGCCATGTTTCAACAGCTCGGCAGCTACCTCATCGAGTCCCGGTGCCTTGTTGTTCTTAAGGCCCTTGATTGCTCTGGCAACCTCAGTCTCGGATATCTCTTCCGATGTAATGTTTAGAGCTGGAGCTGGTGTCTCTTGATCGAAATTGAAGAGCACGGGAGGCATTGGTTGGTTGAGAACCTCCCTGAAGTGTTCCAGCCATCTTGCTTCTTGCTCCTCGTCGCTTAGGAGTGTCCTGGCATCCTTGCTCTTGATTGGCATGCTAGAGCTGCTCCTGGAGTTGGTCAGCTCCCGCACGATCTTGTATAGGGTTTTTGCAAGCAAGGCCTGAAAAACATCGCCGTGTCGCTCCCGTTGTTCAAGGTTCAAGGTTCGACTTTATTGTCAAATATGCATACATTGACATGTAGCATGGATGAAATTTATTTCTCTCAATCCTCAGCAAACAGTGAAAGACAATGTAGTCTAAAACAGTATAAACATATAGACGATATATACAATAAAAGACGATATATACAATAAAAGCAGCATAAAACAATGGCACTTGAGGCTATTGAGGATAAAAGTGACGTAGTGCATTGTGCAATGTGCAATATGCAGATGACGGATAATGAGGGGAGGGTCATAGTCTGTGACAGGAGGCAGGGGTCGGGCAGAGGCAGAGGGTGGGGAGTTTGGGCAGAGCACGGAGGGAGTTGAGTCTCCTGACCGCCTGGTGGAAGAAACTGTCTTTGAGCCTGCTGGTTCTGGCACGGAGACTTTGCAATCTCTCTTTTGTTCTCTTTTTATCTTGGCCACTTTCCTTTCATCAATCAACTTCCAGGTGTTGTCTGTTATCCATCTCTCTTTGTTGGTACCCCTCTTTCTGCCTATAACTGCTTCTGCAGTTTCAGCAATGGCACAAGAGAACATACTCCACTGCTCCTCAATGTTTGCAAGGTGTTGTGGTACCTTGAGCTTCCTGCTCAGCTCCTCACAGAAGCTTTCTGAGATGTTGTTATTCTTTAGCTTGTCCACAGCGAAAGGTCTCTTGAGCTGCACCTTTTTCACCTTCTTCAGCTTCAGCTTGATTTTACTCACCACAAGGAAGTGGTCTGAACCCACATCTGCACCTCTGTGGGAGCGAACGTCGAGCAATGACGAGCGCCACCTTGTGTTGATGCAGATGTAGTCCAGTTCGTTCCGGGTCCCGCCACCAGGTGAAACCCAGGTTACTTTGTGGATCCGCTTGTGCTCAAAAAAGGTGTTGCCAATGCTGAGGCCATTGGTACTGGTTAGCATCAACAGTCTCTCCCCGTTGTCATTCGTGGAGCTTGCAGACCCATGTGGTCCAACTGTGGCATTCAGGCCCCTTCTATCATTATCCAGTTTTGCGTTGAAGTCTCCAATCAGCATCTTGATGTCATGACTGGGGATCTCCTCAAGCACGGTCTGGAGCTGGTTGTAGAAGGTGTCTTTATCGTCCTCTGAGGCAGCTTCGGTTGGGGCATAGACTTGTACGATGGTTACTTTGGCATATATGGTGTAGAGCCTTGCTGTAATAATCCGTTCATTCGCCGGCTTCCATCCAATCAATGCTTTTGCTGCACTGCTGGAGAGGATGATGCCGACTCCATGGGAATGGTGGTCTTGCTTCCCAGAGTACAGAAAAGTTGCTCCATCAACCATGAGGCGCCCTTGCCCCGTCCACCTCGTATCACTAACGCCTAAGATGTCCAGGCGATGGTCCCTCATATTCTTCAGCACCTGGTCCATGCGACCAGACTGGAACATTGTGCGCACATTCCAGGTGCCTACTCTGGTGTTGGTTTTGGTTCCAAAGATCGGGGTCATCAAGGCTCGGGCTTCCAAAGGGGTCGGCCAAAGCAGCAGAATGGCCGTTCATTCATACAGTATGACAAAAATGTTTGCTTCTTTTTAATTACATGTCAAGATGCCCTTACTGTATGTGTTTATAAAGCACAATATTATGGAGTGCTATTTTCTTCCTTCAAATAAACACACAAAACATATTTTTGTTTTTGTTTGGTGAAGGCTGGAACAGATTTATGACACTTCCATTCATTTCAATGGGAACAGATTATGGAATACAAGTGTTCTGAGTAACGAGTGTGGTCACAACGAATTCAACTCAGGGCACCACTGTGCATAGTGTATATATAAGTACGGTCAATAATAGATTTTATTTCTATCCGGTTGTTCATTTAACTTTTACAGGTATTTATTAGTAAGTAAGGTCACATTTCAACTACGAAAAATGACCGTCAAGTGTAGTTGGGCAAATGTGCTTGAACTACAGATGATTTTTTAAAATTAGACAATGCCAGCCCTCAAATGACATTAGTACTCTCTTTGTCCCCAAAGGGCTTTTTCGACATTGCTGTGGACAATCTATATGCAGAGCCGGCTGTCCTGCAGTGGATACGGGAAAATATCCCAGAATGGAAAAACTGCATCATTGTGTCTCCTGACGCTGGGGGTGCAAAGCGGTAAGGTACTTCACGGTGATAAGCTTCTGAGGTCTCATCGTCTCGAGCAATGTTTCCCAATCCCAACCTTTATTGAGCCAAGGCCCACACTGTACATTGTAAATATTTTTACCTGGATTCTCCCCGGCGCCAAAAAATTTAAATTCTGCCTCAGGTACCCGTTTATATTGCACGCATGTTTGGGAAGACAGTCAAGCCAGCCGTAGTAAGACTCTGCCAGACGGTAACACGCCACCAACGTGGTGAGCAGGCCAACTTCACAATAAAATCTACGCAAATGCAGTAATACACAGACATCGGTCCCTTGGGACACGTTCATTTTGAGGTTGTGGCAACACGTGGTGGCGTGGCCGCAGACTTGAGTCTGATTACGGGACGCTGATATTGTAGAACGTAGCGGCTGTTCCCTCTGTTAGCGACTGGCAGCTAGCTGCTAAGCGACTAGGCTAGCAAGAACCATCTGATTACTTTTCAAATGAATTTAATAGATTAAAAATGACAGCCTGGCACGGTTACAGTTCCTACGGATCAATTTTTAAGAAACGAGGCTGACTCAAATGTGCTGTTTTAGCTAGCAAAATGGCCACTCCGGTTCTGACGTCACTTTGAACAAAATTTCACCTATGTTTCCAGAGAAGAAAATACAGTTTGCTACTATGCATGGTTTAAATCTAAGGGGGAGAATGATTATCTGAAAATGAAAACCAAAAGGTTGTTCATCATGAAGTGAAATGTAATATTTTCTCTTGTGTATTCATTATCCAATAATTTTCAGTAGGATAGCTTATTACCAAATTATTCGATAGCTGCAGCCCTAGTAAATACAGCCATGGAAAAAAAGAGACCACCTTTGTTTCTTCAGTTACATGCTAGTTTAAATACCTAATATAACCAGATACATTTGTTTGGACCACTACATTAATGACAACAAAAACGGCTCCCAAGAGTTGAATTAAAGAGCTGATCCAGACATTTTACAAAGGTTTTCTACCAAAATCACGCTGCAAGTTCTTCCATCAATAGCGATGGCATTGTACAGCCGAAAATGATGCTTCTAGGCGTTCCGTGGTTTCTTTTATGTCAGTAAGCCATTTGATGTACTTTTAGTGGCACCAAAAATTAAAATGAACAATTGAAGAAAAGGTGGCATTCTCATAATTTTTTTGCATGGCCGTATGCTGAAATAAAAATGTAATCATATTTCCACCCAGATGGACTTAGTGCGTAATCTGGGCCAATTTTGCAGAACACAAAACAGTCCGGGTGTCCAAACTTTTCCCGTGGGCTGTTCACATAAAAATGAAAGGGCCCTCATGAGAGTTTTCACGTTGAATTTATTTACCATGCACCAAGTGCGATTCTCACTATTTGCCGCTGTATATGAATGATCTTTATTCATTGGGACTTTGTGAAGATAAATATAAATATTGTCACTATGTTAGATGTAGTTTAGTAGTAGAGGTACCGTAGTTAGTTGTAGTGATGAGAAAATGAAGTGTTTCTTTTTTTTTTTACTCCACCAGATGCTGCTCTTCAAAGATAGACTTGTGAAATGGAAATGTATTACATTTTCTTTATCTTTAATCCGAGAGTGCCATCGAGAGGAGTTAAAAATGATCACGAATGCTTCATGAAGCTTGATTTGTTCCCATGAGTTAGTTGCATCCCCATGTCAATCTAAACAACCAAACAGAGAGAATTACACATTGCGTGCCGCATTACCGTGGTCTCCGGTTTTGACGACTGGCCGTGAGATGTGACTCTCGCTATGTTCGTGCAGCGTGACCTCCATTGCGGATCGACTGAACGTGGACTTTGCCCTCATCCACAAAGAGCGAAAGAAAGCCAACGAAGTGGACCGCATGGTGCTTGTAGGAGACGTCAAGGACCGCGTAGCCATCCTGGTGGACGACATGGCTGACACCTGCGGTACCATCTGCCATGCTGCTGACAAGTCGGTATTGCCGCTGTGCAGTTTTTCTTTGAATGTCAGTTTGTTTTGACATTCGCTCTCTCGCGCTTCAGGTTGATCGATGCTGGCGCCGTCAAAGTCTATGCCATCCTCACCCATGGCATTTTCTCGGGTCCCGCCATCTCGCGCATCAACAACGCACCATTCGAGGCGGTGGTGGTGACCAACACTATCCCGCAGGAGGAGAAGATGAGGGCGTGCCCAAAAATACAGGTGCCTTTCGACATCATACGCCAACACAATCTGACCTTACATTTGAGTGAGTGTACCATGGTGTACAAAGGCCTTGGAAATCATTTTGCACCCCTATTCAAAAATGTCAGTATAAAACCTACCGGAAGAGCTGGACTTTAGTTTTGAAATAATATATCTTGGTGTCATTTTGTTCATATTACAGAAACATGGCATATGAGCAGGTACATGTACGTGTCGACTTTTTATAGCCACTGTAGGGACTAAATTGTAACTAGGCAAGGCTCTCCAAGCACACGGCCATTGATCTTTTGGGCTGGGCAGGGTGCAAAGGAAAGATTCCACTTTTTTTGTAATTGTAATTTGATCATTTACATTTATCCACAGACAATTTTATCTTGAAAATGACTGCTTCTGCCTCTCACTTTTTATTCAACACTAATAAGGCGGCAAAATTACTTCTTCGTATTGGGGGGCACTTATGTTGTGTGACTCAACCTAAGAAAAAGAACTTCACATTGAAGAAGCGTCTTCATTCCAATAGAATGACATGTTCCAAGTTCACTTTGTGAATGTGGTGACTGGCTTCAATTGTCACTTTTGTCTCACAGGACTGTCAGACAGTTGTGCCAGTGATTTGACATCATCGTAAATTGTACTATATTGTTGTCCATCAATGACAACTGTATATTCCAGTGTGTTGTTGCGATAAAAAAATACTAAATGACAAGCAATAATGACAGCAAGCTTTTTAGGAGCTACTCTGCTGAGCAAAAACATCCACATACGGCAAAGACTCAATTTGCATTAACAACCCAGGCGAAACTTAGTCCCTTCTTAACACACAAAGGATCTGTTTCGATGTTTCACTTCATCATACTTCCTTGACACCATTGACTAAGTTGCCATTTGGCTTTTGGTGCCATCTTGGGATATCTCAGTCCACTTTAGAAAGCATAAAAACTTCAACTTTTCACCTTGGCCTTTCACTGTATGTGTTTTAAGGAAGATGTAGGATTGCCCCTGAATTGCAATTAGATTTACAGTGTACAGTGAGTAGATTTACAATGTTACTCCGCTATTGTTGGGGGGGACATATTGAAGATTTTTTTTTTTTTTATCGGATTTTACTTAGTTTATAGTTACTTCCTTGCAATGAATGGGGATTCACTGTATGAAAAAAAAATAACGTGCATAATGAAAGATACAATTGTTATCTTTTACCTTCTGATAATTAAATTCCTATTCTTGGTTTTCAAATATTGCGTGTACTGACAATGCGTATGTTCTGTGTGGTAGGTCATTGACATTTCCATGATCCTGGCAGAGGCCATCAGAAGAACCCACAACGGTGAATCCGTGTCCTACCTCTTCAGCCACGTCCCCTTGTAATGGAGAGTGGGAAGGAGTGGGGTCCCTTCGCCCCTTTTGTCCTCTCCACCTACCATGGCATCTTTTACCCAAAGGCTCCTAAGCGCAGGTGGTTTTAGTCTCGTCCACACATCCTCTTTGAATGTTCCCATCCAAGAGATGGAGAGAGACCTCACCCCCACCTTAGCTCCGATTAATGAACCTGTCATGTCCTGTACTTAACTTTAAATGAAGCATTACAATTCCACTCATTTACTTAAAAAGAATTTTTAACAGAATAATTTGGTAACACAAACCTTTACCATCAGGTATTCACATCAGTTAAAGTATGACAACCCACAAAGCGTATTAAAATAACTCAAAAAAAGGTCATGGAATCTGCATCATCAATCCAGTGATGACTTGAAACACGATTCAGGAGCCATGACACGGGAATTTTGTACCTGCAATGGGTCGTCTTTGTTGTTGTTGTTTTTTTTTGTATTGTAAGTCAAGCAGCATTTTTGACAATAAAACTATGGCAATAGCTTTCCAAACATGTTCTTGTCCGCCTTGTCCAAGTATTTCTTCATCATGGTACACATCGCTGCTTTAAAATGACTACATATTAGTACTTAAAAGATGAGAAGTGTCATTTGAGGACAGGCTTGGTCTTCTGTAACTGTTAAAAGTGGCGAGGACTCCACCGAGAATGACCGTAGAGTCAAGACAATTTTGCTAAGAGGCTAAAGTTGTTTGGGGGCGGTGTTTTGCAAGTCTGCCTCACAGTTCAAAGGTCATGCGTTAGAATTTCAGGTCAAGCGCTCATGGTTGCAGTTTGCCTCTTCATGACACACCCCAGTCGTGTAAGCTAATGTGTCCTGTGGTTGAGTGGCGCCCAGTCTAGAGTGTATCCCAAATTTTGTCATTCAGCCCATGCCAGAAAACATCAAGTAGAGAAATTGAACAGTCACGTGGATTTAAAAGTTGAAAGCAGGTCATAACAAGTTTACCTGTAAAGATTATCATGCAGTTTGGATTCAACCAGAAATTTCACCTGAAAGTCGGAACATGCTCAACGTTTTTTTTTTCTTTTTGTGATGTGCCGTGAGATTAAAACACTACTAAATGGATGGAGGGCAGCCTGGTAGTTGAGCGGTTGGCATTTTGACTTCACAGTGCAGAGGTCCCGGGTTCGGCAACCGGTTCAGGGTGTTCCCCGCCTACTGCCCGAAGACAGCTGGGATAGGCTCGAGCACCCCCCGCGACCCTAGTGAGGATCAAGCGGTTCGGAAAATGAATGAATGAATAAATAAATGGATGGATGACAAAAATGTTTCAGTATGTTCTCTCACCACAAGAGGGCGCCTCATACACGTTAATGACTCGTCCCCTCAAACGCTAACGAGAGGCAACATTCGTATGAAATAACAGCGTAAATCTGTTGACCAAAGCGTGGAAAACAAACAAACAAACATTAAATATTTGGACGTAGATCCCTTTCTTTTTCCCATTTTCAACGATCGCACCTCTTAACTCGAAAGTGCCGTTTAAGGGTCTTGCCAGGAGGGGGAGCCACTGTGGACTTTCTGGTAGTGATGTCAGCCGTCATTAGCATATTTGTGACTATATGTGAGCTTGCGTCGGGCAGAGTCTCGCCTTTTTCTGTTGCGACACGCCTGAGCAGAACCTCTAAACAACTTGTCCTCAACAGACGACTCATCGGTAAGCTCCATCCGAATCATCACCTGTCCTTGTCAGCCTTTCTCTCCCTCTCTGTCTCTCCATTTGGTTTCACAGCCCCACGGCAGTTTTATTGTTGCATTGATGATGCTGTTACGCCAGTGGAAGCATATGGAATCACATAATGTTGTTTTAAGAGGAGCAACTGATGATTTGATCCAAGCATGCGCGCGCGCGTCCTTTGTCCGACCAGCGCACACATGTGCACGCTCAAGAGTGTATTTACCCATTTGGTTTCACAGCCCCACGGCAGTTTTATTGTTTCATTGATGATGCTGTTACGCCAGTGGAAGCATATGGAATCACATAATGTTGTTTTAAGAGGAGCAGCTGATGATTTGATCCAAGCATGCGCGCGCGAGTCTTTTGTCCGACCAGCGCACCCATGTGCACGCTCAAGAGTGTATTTCCCTTTGTTACAAACGTGACCCCACCCCCCAGTAGCGCACTGTTGCTATCCACGGGAGTCTACGGGGGTCATCGACTGGCCTCAAATGTGTTGCACACGACGATTGATTTGAGCTGGAATGACCAACTGGACCTGGGCGGTGGTTCCCTTACATTGAGCCGCATGGGAGGAGGAGGTGGTGGGTGAGGGTGCTCCAACGTGGATTTGGCCATGACCACGAACAAAAATATCGAATATTTATACAGTGGGCGGTCAAGGAATCTTTGAATTTGAATTTTGTCATCGTCTGCGTCTCCTTTGTTTTCCTTCTGGGAGGCTGCACGGCGGTCCGCTATTGTTATGTAAATTAGCGGACTTCATTCTAACGTCCCCGTGCGAGATGACTGCTTGGATGCCAGTCAAATCACGACGGCCACAGCCGCAGGGTGAACAAAAGAATGAAGGCGCACGAGCCCACAAGCAGCAAAAGTAATCTGCGTGATTACATATGGCCAACGCCCAGACTTCGTAGTCAGGAGAGGGTCCATATTCTCAGGTGCCCCCTCGCCCCCACATCGAGAATTCCAGGAATTAATAAAACGACTATATGCACAAACACTTTTGGGAACGAATTTTTCCTCTTTTTTCTTTCTTTTTTTTTTAATTGAAGAAGTACTTTTGTGATCTTGCAGACCTGCAAAAAGTCAGGAGAGGGTCCATATTCTCAGGTGCCCCCTCCCCCCACATCGAGAATTCCAGGAATTATTAAAACGCCTACATGCACAAACACTTTGGGGAACAAAATTTTCCTTTTTTTTCTTTTTTTTTTAAATTTTTTTAATTGAATAAGTTCTTTTGTGATCTTGCAGACCTGCAAAGATGAGCGACAAACCAGACATCTCAGAGGTGACCAGCTTTGATAAGAACAAGCTGAAGAAGACGGAGACCAAGGAGAAGAACGTCCTGCCAACAAAAGAAAGTAAGCCAGCCCATGGATTTGTATTCCTAAAATATCTATCTATCAATGTCGTGCTATTGCACAAATGTGACCCGGCATTTTCTCTTCCCCCCCCTGCAGCCATCGAACAGGAGAAGGCGGCGACGACGTCGTGAAGCCCCTCGCCATGCCCCGAGTCCCCCTCCCATCCCCCGACACACCCCCACTCCTTCCCTTCTTCCTCCCTTCCTTCCGCATTGCCTTGTTTTCATCAGTCACTTCTTCTAGCTGTATAACTTTGTAACCGAAACGACAAAACCACAACGATAACCGACAAAGCCGGTCGCGCGGACGGGACGATGCCTTGGGTCGACACAATGCGCCGCCATCTTGAGAACGGAGAAGAGTGGGAGAGTGGAGAAGGAGGAGGAGGTGGTGGTACAGGATCCTCCAAGTGTTTGAATGTCCACCATGGCTCTGGAGCGGAGAGGTTGAAGGGGCAAGGAAGGGCGTCACTGTCCCCGTCCTCACCACCCAATTTCCCACGATGCTGCTTATTGCGCCAAAGCTAAGGCGTCAAGCTTTTCCGCGCTTGTTGTTCTGTCGTCTTTCTAATTTTCGAAAATGCACGACTTTCTTTGCACGCTCTTAATGGCGACCACCCCCCAAAAACGATACTGTTTTATGTATGTTTTTATTTCTTTTGTATGCACACAGGATGAAAAACAACGGATTTCAACTAGTTCTGCAAACAAATGGACTTTGTGCTTAAAATGTCAGGCGTTTCCTCGGAAGTGATTCATGATTTTATGTCACCATAAGAAAAAAAATCAACAGTCCATGTGCTTTAAGATCGATCGTTGAAGTTTTTTTTTTTTTTTGTAAAGTCACAATACTCCGCCACAATCCATTGCAAGGAATGGAAAACCATGAAATGTAATAAAAAAAGATTTGTTACTAAGACGTGTGATCTGAAGTTGTTTGCAAGCAACACGGCACAACGCAATCCTTTTGTTCTCATTGGCAGCCTTAAGTGAGGCCTCGGACTGGTTGCCGGCAGGGTTCCTACGCAAGCATCCATGTTCAGAAATGTATCATTGAAAACAAAACCTGGGCATCTACCTCATCTTTCATGCCACTGAAAACGAGAGTAGGCTAACTTTGATTTTGTAGGACAGTGATATAAAATGTTACGGTTGCAATAAAATCTGTTCTATTTTAGTCATTTATATGGCAATGATTACTTCTAAGGCAGGGATTGTCAAATTCATTTTAATCATTGGCCACTTGTTTTTCTCAGGCTCAGACGTCGGTCTTCAAAACGAGTCGGATTGTTGTGTATATGTATGTGATATGTCCGGTCTTCCTGCATGGGGTTGTCCTGTTTTTGCCTCCACATTCCAAAAACATGCTCAGCGTGAGTCGCTGCAGTGGCTTATGAGACGGCGTGACCTAGAGTACAAGGTGTAGCCTCAGCAGGAGATTTGCTCCGCCTCCTAAACTGCCTTTGTCCAAAATTAGCCACTGCCGACAAAGCCTTAATGTCATTAGCATAGCGTTGGCAGCCAATCATGTATTATTAGCCGAACCCGCTTATCGCTGCACCCCATCGTTTGGGGGGGAACAACGTCGGGAAAGCGTGGTGAAAGCAAACGCTGTTAATCTTGGGAGGTTTTCTTCGTCCGCTGTCATCCTCCATGCTGGTGTAAGTGGATTGGTGTTAAATCAGTTTCTCTTAATAAGGTATTAATCTGCATTTAGGAGGGGAAGGGGGGGGTGGTGGTGTGTGGGGGATAAATGGGCTGCCAGGCCAAGGCTTGGTCAGATTATCGCCTTCCATCTTGCGTGTATGGCACCACAGAGGCCTTAGCCCAGTGGTTCTCAAAGTCCTGTTCCGCAAGCCATAGCGTGGTTGTCCGTGAAATAATTTGCGGTAAATCATGTGGAATCAATTTTGAAAAAAACATGTATGTACTTATGCGAGCTAATAAATGAAACAAACGAAACCACTTATTTCTCTTAGCTTTGGGCCAGTAATAGATGGAGTTGGCTTTTTTTTTTTTTAAGAAGAAACCACCTCCTCCGACAAAGAACCTCTCAGCGACCGTAGGTGTGACTAACCAGTTGTCAGTTTTTTGCTGTGCATTACTACAGTATTTCCTCTCACCCATTTACAGAAGTACGGTAATATTTTGGATAAATTATACTTGACAGAGCATTTTAATGCCAATTATTTTTCTTATCTATCAGGGGACCCCTTGATCCCAGAAATTTGAGTACCCCTCATATAGCAACACAAGTCATGTGAGCAACAAGCCTTTTGGGGGTAGCACTGCCTGGTAACCCATGGCAACAGCTGTTGCTGAGTCACATCTTTGTCTCCCTGGCAAGACGGTCCAGCTGCCGCCATCGTGGTTCAAATACTCGAGAGATTATGCAGCACATGCGGCTCAGTTGTCTGGGGTGTAGTTATTTCCCCGGTATTGATGACATATTATATTCCCGCCATCTGTTTTTATGCTTATTCCCTTTGCACTCGGGTGATTGTAACATTGCAATACTGTTCGAGGTTAAATCTGCATTGTCTTGTTCATGCTCAGAGCAGCCCAAGCATCACAAAAAAAACAAAAAAAAACTGTCCATTACAGTCACTCCAGGGCCTTATACAGTGATCTTTGGGGTTTTTCACAGTCGATAACGTCTCGATCACTTGCGGGCGGGAGGAGACACACACTGATTCTGCTGTCCGTCACCATGGCAACCCCCCCCCCCCCTCCAGTCGCAGCATTTGGCCCTGCGAATGAATCAGCATGCGCCTGCGACCCACCAAACAAAATGGCAAAATGTCCAGCGGCCGAATACATTTTGTTTGCGTCATTATGGAAGTTTCCTGCCCGAATTGGGTTTCCTGCTGGCTCGCGCAGATAAAATGACAAGTTCTAAACAAACGCCAGTGAGCAAACTTGCTGTCAAAGATGTCAGAAAGGATTACACCGCGATCAAAGCTGTCATGTGTATACAATTACCGGGAACCAAAGCTGCTGCGCTAATGTTGATTTTTTTTTCCGAGACAGACGCTCTTAAATTTGACTCTGCGTGATTGACATTTTTATTACGCAAACGCTTGTTGAACAGACCTCTAATTGCAGAATCATACTGATTCTTAAAACGCGCTGCCAACTTGTAAAGTGCACTGCTCCTCTTGTGCACCCCAGTTAACAGCGAACTAAATGACATTCAATATGAATAGGGAGTGGATTACAGATGATTAGATTTTTTAAAATGCACCGAAAATTTCCCATATACAGTACATGCAACAAAGACTAACTCACAACCCAGGCTAAATTTAGCTCCTCCTCAAAAAACAAAAATGTTGGTCTCTTTGGTGAGATGTGTCACTTCAACTTAGTTCCTTATCACCAATTACTGCTTCCCTATTGGCCTGGGCTCTCTTGTAGTGTCGAGACCCTAAAAAGGAAAACAGGCAGAGGTGAATTCCTGAATAGTGAATCGGCAGATGTTCAGTGTACAACACAAAACAGTTCAGAAGCTCTGTACGAGGATCAAGCTTGAAGCAATTGTAAATTTACTTTTACAAATTTCACAATTTGGTCAAATGAATGACAGTCTGATGGAGATACATGGAGATTCAAACTTTTTTTCATAGGTTGCGGGATGTTTTTTTTTTTTTATAACCGTTTATCAATTCATGTATTACGCCAGGAGGTTAGGGGAATGTTTTGAGTTACATCCCAACCACCATAGCTCCTGATGCAATCGCTCTCCGTATATGAAGTGTATGCCATGAAACTCGCAGGGTTGCTCAAAAGCATCATTGTGCAATGTTGGGATGAAAAATGCACACATTGGACGCAGTCGTCCCTCTCTACTTAAATGAATCATCTTTTGATCAGCTCCACGGGGGTGAAATTCAAGGCCCGGGGGCCAGATCCGGCCCGCCACATCATTTTATGTGGCCCAAGAAAGCATATCGGTATTGACTTCAAGTTCCTTACAAAAATATCAAAATTGCAAATTGTCTTTACTTTCAAAAATGTTGAGATATATATTTTTTTGTTACCAATCCCCCATTTAAAAGAAATGAAATAATATTTGAACAAACTCCTTTTACTGGCCTGTTATTTCAAAAATTGTTATTCATCAATTTGTTGTGCATGTATACGAGGCAATCATACATGTATTTGGTTTCACAGTCATGATGACCCTCATAGGGAAACCAAAACAACGAAGTGGCCCACGACAAAAGTTAGTTTGACACCCCTGGTTTACAGGATTAATGGGATTTGGGGGTGGGGGGGGTGGGGGGGTTGGCTTGATAGTCAAGGACATCACATCAGATTCTGAATCCTCGCCCTCATGTTGTTTTGTCTGAGGGAACTCAATAGGGTTGTTGACAACCCTCCCATTTCCCACTTTGTCAAAACACAAATGTTATCATGCCTAATAGGATGTGGAGGACAGTGAACCCTTGTACATTTTCTTCTGTCGAGCTGAAATAACCACAAGCTGAAAAGATGCTGTCCAAACACCATGCATGACACTTAGGCACCATATGTTAGCAAAAGATTAGCTAGCATTGGCCACTAGAGTAGCATATTAACAGTCACATCCAATAAATTAAAAATCACAGAATAGTTTGAGTGGGACTGCTAAATTAGCCAAAATAAAGCCAAATAGAGCGGTGAATGATACTACTGTGCTTTTATTTTGAAGGCCTGACTTTTGACAGGATGTTACGGAAATGTTGCCCATCTTGTCTTGATATTGCCGTGCAGACCATCTTGCGTACGATTCGGTTTCAGTCAGAATTTCTGGAACGGGTTCATCAACTCGGAACTTTATTATAGATCACTTTACAAACAGCCAGAGCTGCAGACAAAGTACTAAACATGAAAATCAGACATTTATTAATTCCACTAACAGTAACTAACAGGTTCCACTGTAATTAGAAAATAAAATTAGAAAATAAAATTAGATACCATACCAGAATAATGACAATACCATTCATCTACACTAATCACTGAAGAGGAAGTGAAAGCACTACATCATCAGTGACTACACTTTGTGTTATTTAACTTTATTTCGTAACTTTTATTCATGCTGTTATTTTGACACCTTGAAAGAGAAGAGTCTCTACCTTATTATGTTTTCACGTTATTAGATATATGTTGATTGTGAACTGCTCCAGTGGATCTATATGGCACTGTCTGTATGGTATTGATAATTTCTACCATTGTATAGTGAAAAGTGTATTAAGTCGAGTGAGACCCCATTGAAGGCTCAGGTACCAAATATAGGGCCTGCCACTGTATTTACACCAGGAACATTTTTAAATGATCAAAAGACTTTTCACGTGTTTTCTTTGTTCAAAAGGAGAAGTTCGGCTGGACTTCCTCTGACACTGTTTCAGGACAGCACATTCTTAACAATGTTTCAGAATTAGTTGTAGTGGCTCAAATGTCACGCGTTTCACTTCTTGGTGAAGGAGCAGAATTTAAAAAAAAAAAAAAGAAAAAATTGAACGTTACTGCGACTCCCATTTAATCTAGTATGCTATCTCCATGACAACAAATGGACAAGTTTACCATTGTAACCGGACTAAAATGATAAACAGCATTCGGCGCATGTTAATGAATGTGTTCATCCATTTTCTGATCCGCTTATCCTCACAAGGGTCGCGGGTGTGCTGGTGCCTATCCCAGCTGTCTTCGGGCAGTAGGCGGGCGACACCCTGAACTAGTTCCCAGCCAATCCCAGTGTGTTCATTCAATTAGTACAAAAAGAAAGCTGAAGTGGAATTTATATAGCCCCACATGTTCCGGGTCAAGTTATTTATTCATTCCAATGAATCAGTGTTACGGTACTTGTGAATCTGTGACTCACAGGAGTCTACGGCATCACCCAAATAGGAAAGATAACCAGACTGAAATGGAAGTCTCA